ATATGAAGAAGCAGTTATTTCTTCCAGTCTTTACAGTCTGGCTTTGGCAGGGAAGCTCTTCACCAGTCACTGGAAATTCTGGGCAGGGCACTTGGCAGAGACTACAGGTGGGCCAGTTATCAGGGTTCAGTAGTGGTCCTACTGCCTTGGTCCACATATGGCTGTGCCTTCAGCCAGGGTCTGCAGGTGGGAGGGTCCACTGCTAGCGTCCATGGAGAGGCAGAACTTGTTCTGGGGTCTGTGGCCAGGCCTGGCGCCATTGTCTGTGGACAGGCTAGATGCCAGGGTCCACAGGTGCTGTTGTTGGTAGACAAGTTTCATTTCAGGGTCCCTGGATGGGCCTGCTGCTGGTCATGGGCCAAAGGCAGGTCTGGTGATGGGATCCACAGGCAGACATGTTGTTGGGGTCCTGAGAAGGGTGGCGTGGTGCCTGGGGTTATTACACAGAGGCAGTGGCCCTGAGAGGCCCTGAGATGATAAAGAACCATTGGCATAGTCCTTTTTTTTTTTTTGTAAATATTTATTTATTTATTTATTTATTTTTGGCTGTGTTGGGTCTTCGTTTCTGTGCGAGGGCTTTCTCTAGTTGCAGCAAGCGGGGGCCACTCTTCATCGTGATGCACGGGCCTCTCACTAGCGTGGCCTCTCTTGTTGCGGAACACAGGCTCCAGAGGCGCAGGCTCAGTAGTTGTGGTTCACGGGCCTAGTTGCTCCACGGCATGTGAGATCTTCCCAGACCAGGGCTCGAACCCGTGTCCCCTGCATTAGCAGGCGGATTCTCAACCACTGCGCCACCAGGGAAGCCCAGCATAGTCCTTTTTTTAAAGAAATTTTGAAATTTAGGTGGAGCTCTGTGGCACTCTGAGACTGTGTCAATATATACCTGACTTATAGGAAATTATTTTGGGCCAACTAACATCTTGGAAGTATCTTCAGTTCCAAGCCCGCACCTAGTATTTTGTCTACCAGGTTGGCCCAATCTAAAGAATTAAAGCTTAAATCTTACAGGAAAGTTATTTGCCAGGTAAATAACAAAAAATAAGTGTTACGAGCTGGAAGAAAGAAAGGAACAATGCATTATCAGGGTAAATGGCAAGTGACAATCACCTCAGTGACGAGAAGAAGAAAGACAACATTGTACAAGAGGAACAAATGAAAAAAAAAAAAGAGGAACAAATGAAATTTGGATTCTATGCATGAATGAGTACCCAAAATTGCCTTAATTTCATTTTTTAAATTTTGTAAAGATTATTCAGAAATTTGTGGTCTTAGTCATGTTTAACCTCCATCTGACAGATTGCCAAACACATTCACTCCAGACAATCTTTCTTACTTAAAGCTGTTCCCCTTCATATCAATAACAATCCATTGATTAATCCAGTTTGGGCTGTCTTAGAGTCCAGTAAATGATAAACATTTCCTCTGTCTAAATCACACCCAACTGAGGGATAGTTAATGTGCTCAGAAAGATGACAATAAAAAATTATGTTTTTCACTACAGTGAAAACTGAAATAGAGGACATGTCTAAATTTCAAGCAACAATAAATTTGCTAACACTTCAACCCACAACTGAACTTATTCACAAGTGCCAGGTTTTTCCACAGATGCAGAGCCCGCATTGCTAAATATAAGGTGTGACCCAGGCAGCAAATCTGAATGAATTTTCATTCTAAAGGCATTCTGGGTCACTGAAGCATATCCATTGCATCCTCCTAATTTACCAGTCAAATACCTCAGTCCTCCAGGGGCAGTGAGGGTAGGTATAAAGTGGTCTGTAGTGTTACTCTTTCAAAGTCTTTCTTCTTGGAGACATGAAGATTATGAAGAAAGTGCCCCTACCCCAAGCCACCAGTGTTTCTCAGGCAACTTCTTTTTGGTCAGTTCTTATGTCAGTCATCCTTTGGCAGATTCATTTTTCCATCTTTTCCTTCTTTATCTTTTAATAAATTGTCCTCCTCCGCTGCTCATTTCATCCTACTGGTTCTGGTATTTCAATGCAATTGTGGTCTTATCTACCTTCCTTCCTGCTCTAAACTCTGTACATTCCAAATCCTGATACTCTCCTCTCACCTCTGCTCTGTCCAATTTCCTCCTGCTATTCCTGTGTGACATCTACAGTCTTTTTCAGTCTTCTTTTCTATTGTCCTAATTGTTTCAGACCCAGTAGAAACACAAGAACTCATGCTCCACAGTAGCCCAGCCTGAAATACACTTCAGGCTGTATAAGAAATACACTTTCTTAAAGGATCCCAAGGTGCACTGTCCAATCAAACCATTAAAAAGTATTCAATTGAAACTCGATTCTCACAAACTCAATGATGGCACACTTATGTGATGGTAAGTGACCTGGCAACTATGAGAGACCAACACAAATTTCTCCCCGGAATCCTCCGCAGGTTTCTCTTACATCCATAAAACTTCAGAGTTTTCCCAACTATTCTACATTAAGAGACGTTTCTTTCTAAATATCATAAATTGTAATTTTGAAGAAATAAACGTCCATTTTCTCCATTTCTGATCTCATTGACAAACATCTTCTCAAAGCTCTCCCAATCAATGTTTTATACCTATATTGGTTCTTGAATTTCAAGTCTTTCAGCTTCTAAATGCATTCCACCTTCAGCCAGTTTCTTCCACCCTCCCTGTCTTCCCTCTTTCTTTTTGTCTTCCTCTTTCC